TTTTAACACTATAAATGCCTTTACTGTCAATTGCTGAATAAATGTATTAATTTCCTGCAAAAAAGATAGCTTTATTTCTCACTCACTCACTTTTATTGATGTATTTAGGCCTTTTGAAAGGTGAGGTGGAAATATGACAAGTCAAAACGATCAAACTGCTGTTCCATGCAGAAACGCTAGATGGAGACAAGTTCACATGACAGACGCTACAAAATGCCACAGAAGTTTACAATCATACTGTCAGATGTATTTACAATAGAACAAGTTTAAACATTTTACAGAAGTGACATTTTTCAGAAATACTGACAGGGTCTTAAAATGTGAGGTAACTAATATCTGGTGTGCAATTAAAATAATAAAACAATCATAATAAATTCGCTAGGCTACGATGATAACGAATTCGCTTTGGCGGTTGCAGTGACGAGTAGACGGAAAATAAGCTAAGCGTCGCAAACGGTTTCTTTTCGATTTCTTTTTCTTTGTTCCGGAATAACCGAGTCTGTGTCTTTAAACTGAGCTTGTCTGTGCAGTCGCTATTTATCATGTACTCGTCTAGTCCCACCTCTTCCTGCAGCAGCGCTGAGTGCGAGAGGGAGACTGAGAGAGCAGATACAGTCAGATCATATGGAGTGACGGCCAGCGATGCCAGTGGAAACCCTGCAAGAGTACAGCGTATACCTGAGAAATACGGACGTCTGAGAGAATTACAGGACTATCTTCTTTGGATACATCACTGAAATTAGCTAAAAATCAGATTTCATCAACTAACATTAAGGAGAAGTGAATTGTACAGGCGAATCTGTGTTTACAAGGGATTCTCAGCCATCATTTGCCAAATAAATGGCATGAAACGCGGTTGTCAATAGGTGAAGTGCACATGGATGTTTCAGCTCTGCTCTTTTGTCTTTATAGAGAACATTGTGTGTCTGTCCAAGATCAGCTGAGTGAGTGTTTATCAGATGTTGAGATGATGTTCTGCATGTTCTCAGGACAAGTTCATTTGTCTGATATGAAGTTATAAATCAGCGTGGCTTTGGGTGTATTTTCTTACAAACAAGTGCATATTAACATGTAATTTGTTTCCAATTAAAAAAGTAAACCAGCAGTAAGCAATCATGGTAGAACCTGTTGGCTTTGTGGAAGCGTGGAAAGCTCAGTTCCCTGACTCAGATCCTCCTGAGATGTCTTTGAACTCTGTTGGAGACATAGAGCCGGAGCTGGAGAAATGCAGAAACTCTATTAGGCATCTGGAGATGGAAGTGAACAAGGAGCGCTTTCGAATGATCTACCTACAAACGCTTCTGGCCAAGGAGCGGAGAAGCCATGACTCTCAGCGATGGGGTTTCAGTAGGGTCTCACAAGGTGAGCGAAAGCCAGCGTCCATGGACACCCATCATCAGAAATCTGATGGAAGCAGGTGTCTCCCAGCCAAACTGAAGCACACAACCGCAGCAGAGGACAGCCATGAGTCTCAGCCTTGTGTTGAGGTGGTGGGATGTGATGTCTCGGACTTGGACAGGCAGAAAAACGGAGATGGAGAAGTTGACGGGATGTCTCCATACAAAAGAAGGAGCGTTGAAGCTCCACTCAGGCCCATTGCTGGACGTGGACTTGCGCACCATGAGACGGATGTTGTTCCAGAGTCTCCACCAAAGGAGAAGGTCACCACAGGGTTGGGAGTCGCTGCGCTTCGGTCAAACTTTGAACGTATCAGAAGAGCCAATTCTCAAACATCTGGCGAGGGGAAAAGTGAGAGGCCTTACTATGTCAACATGGAGTACCACCACGAGAAAGGTCTTGTTCGGGTAAATGATAGAGACGTCTCAGGGAAGATAAGTAGTCTGGGCAGTCAAGCTATGCAGATGGAGCGCAAGAGATCTTTGCATTCTGTCCCAGGTAATCTGTCCACTGCTTTTGGGGACATCCGTAAACCAGAGCGGTCTCATGAAAGAGCCATGGACAGTGGTTACAACTGTGAGTACGAGGAGCCTGATCTAAACCCTGGGTTTGTCAAGGACAGTTCAGTAAGACTTAATGGAAGAAGAGCACCTCAGCAGAACTGGCACCAGTCAGACTGTCAGCCCTATACGACTGTTTATGTGGGGGGCATTATGGGAGACGGAGAGGACCTGCACTTGACCTGGCCCAGGCGGTCTTACTCGCCTGGAAGTTTTGAGGATGGATACACGCCGGATTGCAGCTCCAATGAAAACCTGACATCCAGCGAAGAAGACTTCTCCTCAGGGCAGTCCAGCCATGTGTCCCCAAGCCCCACCGCCTACCGAATGTACAGAGAGAAGAGTCGCTCTCCATCCCAGCACTCCCAGCAGTCTTTTGAAAGTGGCAGCCCCCCTACCCCACAGTCCCAAAAGCGTCTCAAGCAACAGCTAGCGCTCTCCAACGCCAATGTTGTTGGTGTCCGCAAGATCTGGCCTGCTGATGGAGGCTCCAACAACTTCAGCAACAGTTTCCTTGGAGATCTGGGTAAGACAGCATTCTTGCAGTGTTTACTTTTGTCTGTTTGGTGGCACGTTGATAGGATTTCACTGTCTCACAGTGAGAGTATAATAATAAGAAAAGGCACAAAGATCCATTATAATGACATTTTTGGCCAATTATTTGTCATTTATAGGTCTTGTGCAACCTATTTAACATTTTCAAACTTTTTGACACCAAGTAGTACAATTATGGTGACCTCCTTGTGATTATTTATACACAATATATATGGCATGTGTATACATTTCATGCATAAAGACCCATTTATATTGTGTGAGGAAAACTATTGAACAATAGTTTTACCTTGAAAAATAGTTTTTATGTTGTCACTGCACTAAATCCTAAACAAATTAAGATATTATCTAGAAAATGTGTACTTTGTATTAACTATTTTTTAAAATATTAAAGGGGTCCTATTATGCTTTTTCACTTCTTGAATTTTAGTCAGTGTGAAGCGTGTATATTTGGGCATAAAATAGATCTACAAAGTTGCCAATCTCAAAGTCCACTCCAAAGGGAGATTTTTATTTATTTATTTTTTTTAAATCCCTTTTCAAGAACTACAACGAACGGCTCGTTTGGACTACAGCGTTGTTGTCAGGGTATTGTGATATCATAAAGCGGCCCATTAAAATAATTCCCGCCTACGGAAATTCGAATGGTTGGGGGGTGGGGAGGGGCGAGGTCGTGGTTAGAACAAAGCCACTAGAAGGCAAGCCTGCAAACATTAGCTGAAAAAGCATAACGGCTAAAGCTAAAATAAACAACATTTATGAGACAGTTGTCAGATTTCATTGGTGATTTCCAATATGAAATTTAATCTTTTCTTTTTGTGTACAGCCGTTACCAGGGAAACCTTGATTTCTATCACTCCAACAGCGCCTCCTGCTGGCAGAGAATGAATTTGCATATATATGCCACCACAAATAGAGTGCAAGTCTGTGGGAAACACTGGACTATGGTATAAATAAATTCAATTGTATAACAGTTTCACTGCAATTCATGTTATAATGTTAGAATTAAAGAACAATAAACATAATACATATGCACATATCTGTACATAGTAAATGCAGTTATTTTTAAGCGGTTGTTGACATCCTATCTAAGGGGCCGTTTACTCGACAACGTTTTCAGCCAATAACGGGAAACTTTTTATGCATTTTGCCTGTTCGTTTACATGACAACGGCGTTTTGGGGACTGAAAACGCATAATTTTGAAAACGGGTTTCAAAGTGCAAGTTTTTGAAAACGCCACCATTATTGTTTCCGTGTATCTTTGAAAACGGTGACGTCATGGGCGTGCGTAGTACGTGTTAGGTATGTAGACATGCGCAGTACATGTCGATTTTAAAGGCAAGTGCAAACAAACATACACAACAATGGCGGAGTACATGGTAGTGTTGTTGCTGCTCAACCAATATTACAACCAATAGCGGAGACGCATCATATACACGGCAACAGGTACTGTTTACTAACAAGGTGACAGCGCCAACTGGCCTGGCATACGTAATACAGCGTTTTTGGTCGTTTTGAAAACGTTGTCGTGTATATGTGAAACTTTTTAAAAACGCAAGGGAAAAACTTTTCCGTTTTTGACTACATTGTTGTCATGTAAATGTAGCCCAAAACGTGATTTAGCAAAAAAATATAAAAATATATAAAAATAACCACTCTAATATGGCAATATTGACGCCATCCTTAACTGCACCGGAGCAGATGGAACTTGTTGTTTTGGCAAGGGGCGGGGCAGTACTGAAACACAGTCTAAGCTGTTCGCCAATCACGCCGCACTGGGACAGCTAACCAATCACATCACATTTAGTTTTTCGGAAGGCAGGCCTTCATCGAACCCGGAACTAATCGAGCCGTTTGTGCCAGGCTGGGGAGAAAGGTGATGTAATAATGTAAATTATGTGAAAAATAATGCGTTTTTCTAACCACCAAGCATGAGAGCATGTTCTAGTACACCCCCAAAACAAAATCAAGACTTTGTAAAAGAGCATAATGATCCCTTTAATAAAAAATTAAATCAGGGAAAAATAAGATAATTAATTTGTGATTTAATCTTTTGAACCAGCCTTTTTTTAAAAAAGCAGAATGAAACTGTAATAGCATCAAATTTGGTAAATGTATTATAAAATTATTACATTTACAATTGTAATTAGTATCAACGGTTAAAAAGTTTACTTTTTGACCTAAAAATGTTTTATAAAAAGCTTATTTTTTTCTGTCAAATTTCCCATTATCCTCAAGTAACCCCTATACCCAAGATTGAAAAAAATCCACAATCCATATTTTTTTGTGTTTTTATTTTTCCATCTACGTTTCTAGCCCTCTACCATCTTTATTCTTTATGTGAGCTCTCCTTGTGGTTTCTCCTGCTCCTTATCTCACTGTCATGATACGACTGGTCGGATCTGCAGCGTTTGAGGCCAAGAATGGCCTGAGGCAGTGCAGTCGCTCACTCTCTGTCCATTCAGAGCATTTATGCGTCAGTTCACATTAGTATTGTTGTCCTGCCTAGGGATAATTAAGCTAAAGGGGTCATCCAGCATGATGAATTTAGCAAAGCTTTTTTGTTGGGGGAGGGGTAAAAAGCTAATTACAAGAAACAAATTAAGAGGGGAACTGAAGATGTCACTTGGACTAAACGATCAGACATCTGTGGTTATATTGGTTTGAATGGAAACACAAAGAATGGTTCTTCATTGTGAATGGGAGCTATAATGCATTTCAATGTAGGATCACAATGCAAATGGTATGTAGGCTATTGTAGCCATTCAGTCTGGTTTTTCTCTTGTGGGTCATCACAATGCAAAGAAGAAATGTAGTTTGTAGCAAAGTGTCAGTATGAAGCTGTCTTGCACTCAGAAGTAGTTTAGGCTTTTAACAGTTTCATTTGAACAATCATTCACACTCTTGCAACTTCAGATTGACTTAATTTGGGGTCCCAGAGACCCTAAGGATGTACAATAAATTAAATGAATACTTTTATAATACTTTTATTTAGCAAGGGTGTATTAAATTAATCAAAAGATTGTTAGAAAAGTTTTCCTCACAAATATATTAAGCAGCACAACTGTTCTGATTGATAATAATAATAAGAAATCTTTTTGAGCACCAAATCAGCATATTTGATTGATTTCTGAAGGATCTTGTGACACTGAAGAGTAGAGTAATGGCTGCTGAAATTTCAGCTTTGCATCACCGGAATAAATTACATTTTAAACTATATAGAGAACAGTTATGTTAATGAAATAAATGCAACCTTGGTGAGCATAAGATAATTATTTCAAAAACATTAAAAAATGACCCCAATTGAACTCTACTACTAGTCTATGTAGTGTCCATTTTTCATGGAGAACATTTGAAGCATGTTTTCAAAGTGAAATTTTGTTTATAATGAATTAAAATCATATAGATATGTCATATCAAGCCATTTTAACTGAGCCTTAGAGTCTCAAAACAACATTAGTTTTACATGATTTCGCAAGAGCTCAGTAATGATACAATCTAGATCAAGCTGAATACATCATAATTGTATTGCTCATGTTGGTTCATATCTCGTTTTATTATGCGTTTTCTTTGCTTTATAGCCTACAATTGGAGATTATGATTTCTGCCTGTCTTAATGTCTTATGAAATAGTGAAGAAGACAGTAACTCTTTAAGTTCAATTTTCTAAGTGCAATATGACAAAAAGGAACTGAGAGAAGACTTCAGAGCCAAGAGCAGATTTCTCTCCTTTCGAGCAGAAAAGAGCTCATCAGCTCAGTCCAAGCTCTAGTTACGTAAGCAGGCAGAGAGCGCGCAGAGCTGCAAACTCAGCACACCACAAGCAAATTGCAAATGATCGGTGTAAAGTTGCGTTTCAGTGACAGGATCGTGATTTACACCAGTGGGAAGTGCAGCCGTTCTTCAGGCTGTCTGTAAGCTTTCCCAAAATTATTTTCTGCAATCTTAATCTAATGCCCTCGAGCTGTTCAAAAACGGCACTTTCGAGTCTTGAAAGAAGACGTTCTCCGTTAGATCCATTAGCCTGAAAGAGAGTGATCCGAGAGCGTGATGCGCAGATTTTAGTCCTCGAAATTTTCAGTCACACTCACCTAGTGCCCCTCCCTCGTGTAAACATCAGCGGGCACTGCAGCCACGTGTGCTTGTCAAACAAGCACATGCTGTGCCACAGTCTGTGGTAACTGCCCTGATATTTCTGAAAATCCCCAAGGCAGCATTTTAATACGAATGCACTATAAAATGTAATGATACTTATATAAGTGTCATACATTGTCTATAGTCACGAAAGTGACTGATACATGCCAGAGGTTATTTTGCAACAAGGAAGAGACGTCTTGATGGAAATCTCTTGAGGTAACACCCACAATAAAAATGTTCCTTAGATCTCTTCTGTGGTAAAAGTTATTTTTCACTCATGTTTCAGAATCCACCTCATTCACAGTGGTGAAAAGGCGATTGCTGGCGTGATCGATCACAAGTGTTTTGCTCGAAATGGATTGAGGTTGTCTTTGTGGGCATTATGCTGACAGAACCAGTCAGTGAAGGAGATCAGGGGGTTCTTATAGTTTTACTGTTGGCATTTTTCTTGGCAGCAAAATTGGCAGATTTCTCTTCCGTCAACTGGGTGTTAAAAGTCACCTCTTAGGAACACACTGGCCCTGGCACAGAACCTAATCCTGCCTGTATTATTAAAATAAACAGTCCTTTGTTAAAGTCCTCACAGACTCTTGAGTTCACTCTGCATGCTGGCTTGAGCTATAAAAAAAGTCTTGCTAGAAGATACAGCTTTTTTCAGGCTTGTGAGTTCTGCATGGCAGGGTTGGGGAAAATTCAGGATTAAAGAATTGGCTACCTTTCAGTTCCTGAGTCTGAATTAGAATCTGTCTATCTATCTATCTATAATTTTTCATTCAATTGTTCACTCTATCCCTTGTTCTTTCATTCTGTCGTTCGCTCTATCCTTTGTTATTCACT